GGGGGGCGGTGGCGGGTGGGGGGGGGTTAGCCACTGCCTCGGTGTGAGCGGGAGCTAGAGCGGGAGCTGGAGGACGAGGAGGAGGACAGGGAGGTGGAGGAGGATGAGGAGCGTCTCCTGGAAGGGACACATGGGACGAGCTGTTGGCACACAGGATGAGTGAGGAGGGACTGGAACCCCCATTGCCCCCAGCACCGGGTGGCACTGCACGGCAGAGGCATGGCTGGACCCTGCCAACAGCCTGTGGGTGCTAGGAGCTGAGCTGCAAGGACAAGGCACCTCTTCCCTGCCCATCATGCCTCTGGGCGCAGCCAGAATGGCCCCGGAGCCACTCAACCCTCTGCCAAGGGGCCTGGCAGCAAGCCACCCATGCTGAAGGGAGCCACACTGGCCACAGTGATGCCCTCCCCGAGCTCTCCAGGAGCTGGCAGACACTCTCTTTCTTTTAGGGCAGGAGGTGGCTGGACTCACACCCAAATTCCAGCCCCCCAACCCCTCCCGTCTCCAGGAAGACCCAGAAATGCCATGAAGACCCTCTCTGAGCCAGAAGGCCCTCCTCGGCACCACAACAGAACCATGGCAGGCACATGTCCTGCATAGTTACGTGACACAGAACCCACCCACCCCCTCGCCCCACGTTCTCCCCTCTCCAAGAAGCACCAGCAGCCAGGCTACAGTGTTGGGAGCGTCCCCGCCAGTGTCTCCACGCAGGGCCAGCCTGGGTCCATGCCCACGAGGGGCTGGGCAGCTCGCCTGGCCCACTGGCATCGTGCCTCTGTGGGTAAGGGTTGGGAAAGCGAGCCAGATTGGGAGAGTTACCGACCGGGACGAGGTGCTATGACCTGCCGCAGCACTGCCTGGCTGCCCTGGGGCGGAGCGCTGTTTGCCAAGCACTGTGGCTTTTCCAGGGACACCGCCAGCTTGTGCAGATGCCGCTGCCGCTTCCTCATCGCTGCCGCCAAAGCTGGTGATGAAGGTGATCTTCTCCTCGTGGCCAGGAGATGGGGTGCGGGAATGGGAGCGGGATTCAGAGGTGGACTCCGAGGGGGAGCTGTGAGGTGCCAAGGAGGGAGGCGGCTTCAGTTGCCAAAAATGCTCCCTCCCAAAAATTGCCCAGTGCCAGGTTCCCCAGTGGCTGCAGGGATCCGCAAGAAAGGGATGTCCCCAGCCTAGAGAACCCACTCATCCCAGGGCTGCGTCCACTCACCGTTTGTAGGGATCATACGTGGGGCTGTCTCTCCGTGCATAGCTGCGAAAGGAGAGGGTGTTAAGCGAAGGAGAAATGAGGAAATTGGTGGGACATCACCAGAGGACAGAATCCCCAGGACCCCATGCAAGCTGGCACAGGCGACACGTGGGATGGAGCAGGGAGGAGCCGCCCAGGATGGATAGGAGCAGACCAGGGCTGTGGCTGAGCTCTGGGGAGCCCCATTGCGGCTGCCGGGCTGCGGAGCTCACCTGGGTGGGCTGATCTTCCTCCCTTTCAAGCGTTTCTCCCTGAACTCCCTCCTCTGGCGGCGGGAACGACGGCCCTAGGAGAGCAGCCTGAGCTAAGAGACAGTAGCAGCCAGGGGGAAGCTGCCCCGGGCATTTATGGGCCCCCCTCGGGAGGCAGAGGTGCCAAGGCACCTGCACAGCCCAGCCTAGTGCCCCAGGAGGCTGCCAGCCAGCTAAGGCTCGCAGCGGGATGGGGCAGAGCTGGCCAGAGTTCCCCTTACCGAGTACATCGCCTTTTCCTCCTCCAGGGCTTTGGCGTTTTTAATAGCTTCTGCCTCCTCCTTGTCCTTCCGCAACATCCTTCCCCCCCCACCCCAAAAGAGAGACCTTCAATAAAAGCCCACCAGCCAGCTCTCAGAAAGGGAGCCTGTGCTCAGGGAAAGGGGTTTGGGGGCCCCCATCCTAGAGGCAGGGACATCCACAAAGGAATTCGCCTACAAGGAGAAGGGGGGCCCTGGTGAGGCTCTGCTGGGTTCCTGGGGCTTTCCCCGGCCGTCCTGGCCACCAGCCGTACCTGACAAAGTCCCCCTCCGCCATGCCGTATGTGGTTGCCTGCTTGTTCAGGTCGGCCACCTGCTCCTGGTTCAGCTCATCTACATCCACTTCCACATCTGCAGGCAGAGTGCGGGCAGCTCAGCACACCCCGATCCCCCCGGCACAGAAAGGCAGGGCTCAGCACATCTGCTCAACCGGGGCGAAGCACCCTAGCAAGGGAGGGCCGTTACCGATATCGGGGATGACTTCATCCTCGTCTGTGTTGCTGTCTTCCTCGGAGTCTTCTTCATCCCCGCGCTTCTCCATGGAGTTCTCAAGCTCAGCCACGGTGCTGTCCTCGTACGTGTAGCCGATGGAGGCTTTTTTCTCTGCCAGCCTGGGCACAGACATGCTTAGCCCCTGCCCGCCTCTCCCCTCCAGCGTGGTGGCTCCACGCCAGGCAAGAAGCCATCATGGCTGAAAGTTTCCTTGGGAAGAAGCCAACCCTTCCTCTGCCTCCCTCCTCAGCCACCACAGCTCCGCTCAGCCCCGGGACAGCCTCATGGCAGCAGCAACAGAACAAACATTTCAGCACAGAGATGCAGGGGACAACTTGAGTGTCACCGAGAGCAGCCAAGGGAGCATGGTGCAGCCAGTGGCTGCTCAGTCCCACCCCAGCGGAGGGGAAATAGGGACCGGTTGAACAGCGGGTGTTTCCGAGGCTACGCAGCCACGTTCCCAGCACAGTCCCCAAGGACAGGGGTGCAACAACTGTCCTCTGTCAGCTCTTCTCACACTCACTTCTTTTTCTCATCTTCATTTGGCTTCTGGAGTCCCCCGTACAGCTCATCAATGTAGATCTGGTAGAGACACTGCTCCTCTGAGACTGCAACCACACAGGGAAGTTACCAGCTTGTTTTACGCCCACTTGAGAGAGAACAGCTCAGAGCGCGATTAACTGCAGCTTGTTCGAGGGGACAAGACCATCCCCTCACCCTTCTGCTAGCACCACATCGAGCTGTGCCCCGGAAGAGCTGGGATTTCCCCTGAATTGCAAGGGCTCATCCTGTCTCAGCACAGCCCGGACCCTCCTGCCTGCATGACACTTACTGCCGGCAAAGTCATTCTGCACCAGGCCTCGGTACCGCTCGTAGTTACACCTTCTCTCGTCAGAGTCCTGCTCAGGGGAGCTGGAAAGGAGCAGATGCAGGTTTTGGTGCTCACAAGCCTTTGGGAAGATGGACGTTCCCCTCTCCCCAAGAGATTTTGGACAGTGGGAAAAAATGACATCCCCTTTCTGCTTGGATTAGCAAGACCAGATCCCCTCCTGCGTGGAGAGACCAGGGCTGGGGTTTGCAGGCAGAGGATCACATGCCAGTCCAGGATTCCCTTGAAAACGGAGCAAAGGGACCTAACTCCTCTCTGGAGCTCATGTTGAAGGCCAGAGAGGATAAGCAGGTGCTGGAGCAGCAGTGAGCAAGGACAGGAATGGAACCTGGCTGCTCTGTATGGACTCAGCCCTAGGGGGGAAATTTGCCTTCTGCCCCATCCCTGCTCAAAGCAGGGCTGACTACAACAGCCTGCTCCAGCTGAGCTGCACCTCTCTCCAGAGACAGAGACCCAGCCAGACTCTGGGGGCAGTGTCAGTGCTCAATTACCTCCCTCGCTCTAATTTTGGCCTTTTCATCATGTCCCCTTACTGCACTTACTGCAAAGAGCTCAGCTCCATCCTTGCTAACTTTTAAGGTACAGAAAAGATGCTGTGGGGTTCCCTTTGCCCGTGCTCCTGCACTCATTCCAGCTTATTCTCTTTGTACTGGGATCTCTACACTGGTTCCAGTACACAGAGTCTAAAAAGCAGCCCTGCCCACCCTGCAGCAACCCCTGCCAGGCTCGCAGGCAGCGCTGGCTCTGAAACCTCAGCCAACCGCTCCAAAACAGACCCGAGAAGGCCTGATCCAGACCAGGCAGCTCCCGCTGAAGTGGGGTGTCCCAGCACCCCGTGGCTTACATGGGGGTCAGCAGGGGTGGGGTGTACATAGGGATATAGTCCAGGTGTGCCCGCACGTCAAAGCGGTCGATCATGTTGTTCGTGTCCCCCTGCCAGGGCATCCTGTGAGGAGAGAGAGGTCGTCAGAGTTGGGGGACAGCCGGAAAGCATCCCCAGGAGGAGCAGGGCCCCCTCAGACCCACACAACCCCCCGCCTCGAGCACCGGCAGGTGCGCTCGGCTCTCCCGCGTTAGTCACTCCTGAGCAGGGATGGGGGAACCAACTCATTTGCCGCAGCATCTCCTAGAAGCTCTGGCAGAGGAGGTGTCGAGTCCTTTGAATACAGCTTTGACGAGTAGAAATCAGCCCAGATTTCATTTCCCAGGGCAGGAGGGACCCGGCCAGCCTTGGGGCTGTGCTATGAAGCAGCCAGGCAGCCCGAGATGTGCCAGTGACTGGGCAAAAAGCCCCCCCATTCACCTCTGAACCCACCAGTGGGCTCAGTACCTCTCAAAGACAGCCCTAGATAAGATGATGCCTTTGGTGAGGCACTGCCCGCTCCCCCTGAACTCCCTCGCCAGCCCGGGGAGCAGCAGGAGACATGGGGGCTACTCACATATTGACGGGGCTCTCGGCGGCCAACGCAACAGCTGAGTCCAGGTGGACCTTGCAGGCCCGGCCATGCACCTGGAGAAACTGGGCTGGGTCCTTTTTCTAGGAGGAGCAGAAACCCCCAGGTTAGGAAAAAAGACAAAAGGAATAAAAACACCCAAGATTAGAAAAAAGGGAGCAGGAGCCCTGAACCTCGAGGAAAAGGGCGAGCCCTACGCCTTGGGGAAAAGGGGGAGTGGTACTCTTGGAGAACAGGAGGAGCAGGAGCCCTGAGCCTTGGGGAAAAGGGGAAGCCCCAAGCCTCAGAGAAAAGGGGGAGCACAAAGTGGTGTGGCTTTGCCTGTATGGGTTTAGGGTGCCCACCCAAGGACACCCCTGCAGGATCCCTGGGGAGGGCAGCCAGCAGTGAGCACCACAGATCCCTCTTTCACCCCAAAACAAGCCACAAAGCACCCAAACAGTTCCCAAATGCCCCAGGCACGCCCCAAATTGGGTCCCATCGAGGGAATATCACGGGCCATCGCTGTCCTCGGGGAGGGGATGAGGACAGGGACACTCACGATCTTCTCGTAGTACTCTCTGCGGCGCTCCGCTCGCTTCTTGTAGTCCACCATCATCCCCCGCAGCTTGCGCTCATGCTTGCGGGCCTCGTGCCACATCCGGGCGCCCGTCTGGCTCCGTAGCCGGGGTGTGCTCCCGCCGGGCACCGAGGAGGAAGACGAGCTCGTGGCGTAGGGACGGCTGCTCCCTGCGTGAAGGTGGGGGGCTGCGTTAGGGGACACGGAGCGACCTGGGGGCCAGGGGACACCTGGCAGGGATACGGCGATTTGCGGGTGGGGTGGGGGAGCGCCGGGTGACTCTAGGGATGGGGGGAGGGG